CAAAAAGAGTGTTTTTTTTATTAAAAAAACAATTGATAGTGTAAGGCGGCGTTTCCAAAAAGAACTGCCCACGTGGAAAAGCTGAAAAATAACAAAAAAAAACCATTTTTCTCAATCATGATGGCAGGTCGGTCAAGGGCATTTTCGTCAAGTCGCGTAATATAAAATAAAAGCAAAACAACTTGTGGCGAAATTAAGCAAAGGACAAGATGGACATTTGAAAACACGATTAAAATATTAATTAACGCCAGCATTAAGAGGACACCCGTCGTAGGCAGCAACAACAAGCGCGCGGCGTTTTTTCCCTTGAGAAATAGAAACAAAGAAAAGAAAATGGAAGCAGAGAGAGAGAGAGAGAGAGAGTTTGATATATAGTTTCACTTTTTAGAGAGAGATTGATAGTTTTCTGGAGAGAGAAGGAGAGAGCAAACAATCTCCTGTGAGCTCTGTTACCCTAAAACAGGGTATGCTGTTACTCTTCAGTTTCCGTATTTAATGATTTCTGTTCATTGTTTAGATTAATGTTCGTTTCCATATTCTTGATTTTGAAATTTTGGCTTTTGATTTCCGTGGTGGTTTGTTTGTGGTCTGGACAGAGTCTTCAGAAGTTGATTTTGAGAAATGGGTTTTTGTTGAAATATAAATTTTATTGCCCAAGAAATCTTGGGTTTATCTCTGATTGTTGAGAAGTTCCTTCTTTTTTGTTTCGAGTTCTTTCTCCCGTGTTTCTCTCTTTTTTTTTCAATCGACTGTTGACTTTTTATCTTGATTTATTTTGATAAAAATCTATTGGATTGATAGACTATAAAGTCTAGCGCATGCAAAACTGAAGTTTGAAATTTTTTTTTGAGAGGAAGCCTTTTCTAGTTTGAAGATTTCTTGATGTTGTCTCCTTCAAGACGGGCTCTATTTGACCAGAATTTAAAAATGGTTTTTGGACACGCTTGGAAACTTGAGATATAATTAGCTCTTAGAGCGTTTGAGGGGTTTTTAATCCTTTTTTTTTTCAATTTGTAATTAACAGAATTTGAGAGTTTTTAGTTTTATATAATTGAACTCCTCTGCTAAATCGATGCAAAGTTGAGGATTTTCTTAAAAATTAATCAGTCTTGTACGACTGCGAAAAGTTGCTAGTTTGTGTCAATTGAGTTCCTTAGTTTGATTTGCTGTGCGTGATGTTGAGCTGGTAGTAAACTGAAGAAATCCTTTCATAGAGCTAGATAGAGTATACAAGTATAATTTTGTATAATGCTGAGGGCTGGAAGGCGTGTTAGAAATTAATTTAGAGAGAATCTAGAGTCGTTTATTAGGTGCTCATGTTTATGTGTTTTAATGAATCTCTAAAGAGTCACTTGGAACTTCTGTAAAAGAAGAGTTCCAGTCTTTAAAGTGAAGATCGGTGGAAACTTGTAGACATGGATACAGATTCATTCGAAAACTTTCTCCTTGCTATCAAAAGTTTTCTCAACTCCTGCTGCTTTTAGTCTGTTACTAAGTTATCATTGTAAACTCATGTGAAACCTTGTTTTTTTTTTTTTTTTTATCTGTTTTGCAGCGTGCTGCTTTTGTTCTAAAAGAGGAAGTTGAATCCATATTCCCCCTTCATTCCTTGAAGAGGTAAGAACCTATACATGAGTCCGTCTCTGGATCCAGTCGAAAGAAACCAAAATAAGCCCCCTATTGGTATTCGATTCTTAGAATGGGTAAAGAAGAGAAGGCTTTCCTACGGAACCCACCAAGCCATTGTCTTGATCGTTACATTTTTGGCATACGCGAGCTACCATGCTGCTCGAAAAACCACGAGCATTGTCAAGAGCACCCTTGACCCATCTGAGGTGGGGTTAAAGTTTGTCCCTTGGAGGATTACTTACTCAAATGAACCAGTTGAAAGAAAAAGATTTTCGTGGAAACTTGGAGAAGGTTGGGCTCCATTTGATGCCTCAGACGGAACAGCCTTGCTTGGTGAACTAGACTTGGCTTTCCTTGCTATATATGCCATAGGAATGTTCTTTTCAGGGCACCTAGGTGATAGGATGAATTTAAGGATCTTTTTGACTATAGGAATGGTTGGAACTGGTATATTTACGTCATTATTTGGCGTTGGATTTTGGGCAAATGTGCACAACTTTTACTACTACTTGATAGTGCAAATGCTTGCTGGCCTGTTCCAATCAACTGGATGGCCTTCGGTGGTTGCGGTGGTTGGTAATTGGTTTGGGAAGAGGAAGAGAGGGCTAATTATGGGTATATGGAATGCCCACACTTCTGTTGGGAATATTTCAGGCTCTTTGATTGCCGCTGCGATGTTGAGCTATGGGTGGGGCTGGTCTTTTGTTGTGCCTGGTCTCGTTATTGCTTTTGCTGGCCTGCTTGTGTTTTTGTTACTGCCTGTTAGTCCCGAAGCTGTTGGAGCTAATAAAGATGAAGATGAATTGGATTCTCCAGATAAAGCTGGGGAGGGAGTTACAGAGCCTCTTTTGGCGTCGGACCCTGATGTTAAACAGGAAGCTGTGGGGTTCATTGAAGCGTGGAAAATACCTGGAGTTGCTCCATTTGCTCTTTGCCTATTTTTCTCCAAACTGGTGGCCTATACTTTTCTCTACTGGCTTCCTTTCTACATTAGCCAGACAGGTAATTTGGGCTTCTTAGCTTTTTCATTTTTGGGATTGACCTGAATTTGCGTAGCATTCTTTAATGTGCTTATAAAGTGAAGGGAGAAAATGAGATTCTTTGGTTTCATGAGTCTTCTATGATTGGTTGAAACTCTTTAACATCAATAGAAATGTGAGGACTCACTTACTGTATACTCGTTTATAAATTTAGATATAAAACATAGGTGTTTGTCATTTTGTAACTGGTGAAATGTGTTCTTTTGCTACTTTTTTTTTTCATAATAATATCCATGATGTGGACTTATTTATTCTCATCAACCTTTCAGCCATTGACGGAAAGTACTTATCCGATGGAACTTGTGGAAACTTGTCAACGTTTTTTGATGTTGGAGGGGTGGTTGGGGGAATTTTAGCTGGTCACATTTCTGATCGCCTCGATGCCAGAGCAATTACAGCAGCAAGCTTCATGTACTGTGCCATCCCTGCTCTCTTTTTCTACAGGAGCTATGGACACCTTTCCTTGGGTTTAAACATTGCTCTTATGTTCATTACTGGCATGTTTGTGAACGGCCCTTATGCTCTTATAACAACGGCTGTCTCGGCTGACTTGGGAACTCACAGTTCCTTGAAGGGGAACTCAAGGGCATTGGCCACTGTTACGGCAATCATAGATGGAACAGGCTCGGTCGGAGCTGCAATTGGACCTTTGTTAACAGGTTACATTTCTTCTAAGAGCTGGAGTGCAGTTTTTACAATGTTAATGGCTGCAGCTTTAGTTGCAGGTTTGCTATTGACGAGACTTATTGTGGCTGAAGTGGCTGCAAAGATTGCTGAATCAAGGTCTCAAGGATCTACATCAATAGCACCAGCTGCTGCACTTGATGTGTGATTTATAGAGGGAGGAAAACTGGGGCTATACTTATATTTGCTTGTGTGATTATCAGAGTGTTTTATGAGCTCTGCTGATTAAAATGACGAGGAAAAATCCTCTTGATATGTACGAGGATGGGAGAGGATGTTTTTAAACCTTCTCCATGATATACGGCTGGGAAAAGTGGAAGTAGGAGAGGGGCTGTCCTACTGTTTGTGTATATATGTACATTCTTTTGCATATTATGTATCAATTTAAGCAATGCAGCATTGCCCAGAAGGAAACTTTTTAAGATTATTGAATACTTTCTGGAATGCGGGGGTTCAGATGATCCTTTAATGCCTCCAGCTCTTTTTTAATAAACAAAAGATTTGCCTCAATATCCTCATAAAAAAATAGAGAGGAAGAAAAGCAAATCTTTCCTGAAATAAGTTTTGTAATCTGTGGTACCATACACAAGGATACAGTTTTGACAAGGAGGGGAGATGTCCTCTTTTTTTCCCCCCCTCGTTTTCTTTTTAGATTTAGTGCAGGATTGATATATTCATTGACAGAGAGAGAATCTCCGGTGGCTTTATCCTTAGATTATGATCGGAATGGAGGGAGCATCCATGCTCACCGCTCCACCTAGCTAGCACCCCCGTGGGCAAATAATGATGAAATTGAAGAGAGATTCTGCTGGCTCTATTTCTCCTGTGGGCGGGCGACAGGAGAATAGGAGACGGGCAATTGGGCTGTAACTAGCCTAACCCGTGAGAAAATAAAATAAAATAAAAGGTCACGATCGGCAAAGACAGGTATCGGGCACCTGTTAGTGCCATTCCTGTAAGAAATAAAAAGTTTTTAGTTAGTGTTCGGTAACGTGACCCAAACGTTATTCGACAAGATTTAATTTCTTTTTAATATGTTTGGATTATTCTTTTTGTGTCTTGAAAAGACTATTTTACTTGCGGGGTCCACGAAGAGAAAACAAAGGAAAGCAAAGCAAAGTGCAATCGTGAATACAGGAAAGGGTTTGGATGCCGGTGTGTTCTTTTCCGTGCGCACAGTGCTCCTTTACTAAAATATTTGATTGAAAATAATAATAATAATAAAATCATCTCGGGAAATACCCACAAACTATATATATTTTTTTCAGTATGTATACCATTATATTAAAAAAATATAATAATATTTAAAAGATTATTCTGTCAATGGAGAGTATTTTTTTTAGAATTTAAATTTTGTGGTTAATAATAATAAAATATTATTAGCAATACAAAAGATGCGTCCTTGAAATAGTTTAGAGAAAACTTGACGTTAGCACACACCATCAGCTCATCATCTCCCGATTGTTGGTTTATTTGTTTGCCTCTTCTTAAAGCTGTTCTTACACCCCTTCTTGCACACCGGGGATCAATTCTTCATTGCATTTGTATTTTTATTATGTTATTAATACAATAAAATATATCGGATCTTTTTTATTGTATTTATGATTTTCTCATTTTATTTTACTTAATACTAAATTATTTACTTGCATTATGTCGTAAAATCAAATTTTTTAAAACATTAAAATGATATTAAGATATTATCAACGTGTTTTTTCAAAAGAAAACGAAAATAAATTGTGCATGATTAATATGAACTATTTATCTTTATAAGTTCAAAAACAATCTAAAAAAAAATAAAGAATTTGATTAAAAAAGATTTAAAATATTTTAAAAATAAATAAATATTGAAATAACAACATATTAGATTAACTTAGTTTAACATGTAAAATCTATAACCCGAGTTATAAAATCATAATAAACTCGTAAAAAATAAAAAAAATATATTAAAACTCAATTCTCAATCAACACAATGTTGAGAAATAAAATTAAAAAATAAAAAAATAGGACAAAAAAAATACTCGAGTCAACTTGAATTAACTTACCAAACGTGAATAATGAGATTGAAATTATCTAATAAAAAAATTAAAACAAATTATAAAGCTCAATTCTCAATCAATTTAATGTTAAATAATGAAATTGAAAAAATAATAATTAAAAATGACAAAAAAAAAAGATCTCAACCGGGTTAACTCGTCAAACCTTTAATTTGAGTTATGAAATTGTGATAACCTTATAAAAAGAAATTAAAACAAATTATGAAAGTTAATTCCTAATTAACTCAAATATTAAAAAATAAAAATAAAAAATAAAATCAATTCAAAAAAAGAACAAACAAACTCAATAACTTGCAAAATTTGTAATCTGAGTTATGAAACTATGATAGTCTCGTAAAGAACAAATTAAAATAAATTATAAAATTTAATTTTAAATTAAATTAAATTAAATATTAAAGGATAAAAATATTTTTTTTAATTACATAAAAGGATACAAAACTTTGAGGTGGTCGAGTTAACTTGTAAAATTTATGATTAGGTTATGAAATCAGAATATTTTTAAAAATAACAAATTAATATAAATTATAAAGTTTAATATTTCATAAATACAATGTTAAAAAATAAAAAATAAAAAAATAAAACTAGGGTTAAAATATAACAAAAGAAAAAGAAAAGAAAAGAAAAGGTTCCAATGAAAAATGCTTTCTTAAATTCTAATTAAAACTCGTTATGGACTAATTAAGTAAAATAATACTATCTTATTGTTTACCCCACATCTGACTCCATGGCCAGAGACAATTATATGAACACCATATTTTGTGCCAAAATGAGAACTGAGAGGTTTCCCATGAACTACAAAGAGAGGTACTCTCTTATAAAATCCAGCCGAGATGTGACCATTGATGAGTTAGAGTACTTCCAGTTCAAACAACGAACTAGAGTTCTGAATATTTACCCAGAAAGCCTCTGACTTCCGCTTCAGTCCAGCGGACGACATGGAGTTGGTAGAAATTCTAGGTTCAACCCATGGTTATGGACTGAAACCAACGGGGATAACATGAAAAGGAGACTTGAACAGTTGAACCAGACAGAAATGGTGGTGATTTGTACGTTTAACAGCTAGGCTTCAAAAACACGCTACAAGAGGCAGGACAGTCATGGTTTCAGAAAACCTCCACTAGAGATGCCAAATCAACTCATCTTGGATAGGACAATTCGTAGACTCCGATTTGATCATGTCCTCATAAGCTAGCGCTTTGAACACACCAACCTATTTATCAATTTTCCCATGAAAATATCTTCTCTTCAAGCATCTACTGCAGCAGTGCATTGAAATCCCATATAACATTGACTCTCTGTTTATAAACTTCTCGGCATATTCCATTAACAGGACACCTTGAGGGAAAAAAGTGGAAGGTTATACTTACGGTTATGGAATTTGTAAGTTTGGAGGATTAAATGGCAAGAAATAATATCAAAACAAGTTAGCTTGGGAGAGCTGACAATGGTGGTACGAATCGAAATCAGTCTACACTACTCTCTGAAACCAGAAAGCTCCTGGCTTTAGCTACAATGATCAAAAAGACGAGGTGGGATTGTGATGTTCTAGGCTCCAATCATGACATGCCGAAGAGGTACAGGGACCCTTGATCATGGACCAAGATCAATTTCTTCATGAACCAACTTCTTCGATTTGTCTACAAAAACATTTTCTTTCCAGATATCTAAAATCTTAGTTTTCTACAGGCTATACTGCAATTTAAATACCACCCAACAGTGCCAGCAAGTGGTTTACTGGTCTTGTCTCTCCATCCACTTCTTAATAGTTCAGCAATTAAACAAACAAAAGTCGAAAAAAAATATTTGGCATGCAAAAACAGTATGCAAGTTCAAGCCCCAACAGTTTCCATTTCACGCGGAAAAAAAAAATTGTTTATGGGTAGAATCATCACTGAATTCTTTTTTTTTTTAAAAAAAGAACCCTTTGAATTGATCAGAGTGCATTGGATAACAGGCATCTTTGATCGGGAGATGTTCGATTTTCAACTCTCTTGAAGATGATGGATTATGACCTTTATCATTATGATCTTTATTTTTTTTAGATTAATGTGGGTGTCTGGGTCAGCTTGTGCGCACCACGACTAATCCCACGGGCCCTGAAGTTAACAACCATGTAAGCTTCCAATGGCCATCATATGAGCAACCAAAAACTCGAACCTGAAACTACATAGGGAGCAAACCTCTTGATCCCAAGTCCTTACCACTTGGTCACCACCTAAATGATTATTATGACCTTTATTTTATCTTGATTAGATGTTTTATTTTTATTTTTTGTGGTGTTTATAAATTTTAGCATAAATATTTATGATAAATAATTCTTACATATTAAGTACCATAAGCTTAAGTGTTATCGTCATTTCTACTTTTTATCCACAAATTAAATACAATTATCTATTTTAAAATAGATACCTGTAATAGCATATTATAAAACTATATATTTAAAAGTAAATAAAATAAATAAAAACAATGTAAATTAAAAAAATAAAAAGAAACCATTATTAATTTTTATTATTTATAAATATATTTATATATCCACGTGATTTCAACAATACTCTTATTTATAATTTAATATGTATTAATACTTGTAAACTAGGAAATTATAAGAAAATATAGGAGATATTTAAAATTATAATAATAATTATTTTTGAAAATAATTTTTATTTAAAAATATATTAGTATATTAAAATAATATAAAAGTATAGAAAAAATATATCATTTAGTTTTTTTTAATATTTTTAAAACAAAATAAACGTGCTGGAAAATGAGATTTGAAATAATGAATGAATATAAAGATGATAAAGGTGTCTTCCCCTTCAATTAGAGACAAAACAAAGATGAAGAAGAAGACAAAAATCATCATGACACATACTTTACATGACTTTCCCGCAAAAAAAGACCCTCTTCTCTCCTGTTCTCCCCCACCCCCACTCTCTCAACACAATCAGGCCTTTTTATTATTTACTATTATTCTCTCTGCCACCGACGCCATCACCAGCAGTTTCTTCTCCTTCTCTGATCGAGTCGAATCAAATCAGGTTCTTTCTTGTATTTCCCTAACCATTCAAATGACTTCTTATTTTCGTTTTATTTTTACATTTCGAAATCTAGTGTTTTTTTGTTGCCTATTTTGGGCTGTAAATCAGATTTATTGTAACTGATCTTTTCATTCTTCATCATTTTTTTAACGTTTCTGTTCAATTAAAAACGGGGTACTTAATTTCTTATCAATCAAATTGCCATGATGCTGAAAACTGAAAAAGTTACCTTAATTGAGTTAATATTTAACGTTTTTTTGGTGCTTTAATTTTTTCTATTCCTTCTTCGAATTATTTTCTGATTGCTGACTATTTGTTTTTCTGCAGGATTTTCGTGGGGGGTTTGTAGTT